GCCGGAGTGCAATGGCTGAGCCTCACCATGGGTGAACCACCTTCTTGATCATGGTATCTCCCCTGCCAGGTAAGTATGAGTTGTTCAGCTCCATCTCAGGGAAGTCTTTCACTCACACACCGCTCTGACTCACGGTCACCACAATCTCACAACTAAACAGGAAAACACTGGAGCTGAAACTCTTCAGCTTCTCACTTCAAACCAAGCAGTTCACACAAACACTCACACACACTGACATATTTTAGTTTAAAACACACACGGTAGTGTTCCCACAATGCAATGCAGCATGTGTGCACACAAAGCTAACTGACAGATGTGACTTGTTTCATCCATTCATTCTCCTAAAGCGAACCAACAAGCCAACAAAGCTCAGATTACCTCAATCCAAACTGAACAGCAGCTGTAATCGGAGCCACTCTCATCAGAAATATAGAGAAATTAATAAAAACACAGCTCACGTTTGTTTCTGCTAACAGTGACGTCACTTCCTGTGTCTGCCCTCAGACTGCAGTAGAGCTGCTGTTGCCCCCTGCTGTTCAGAAGAAAAACTACATTCAGTGACAGTAAACGACTTGAAAACAGGAGTTTCTACTAATCTATGAAGCCTGCGAGGAAACGTGGGATTTTATTTACCTTTTGCATTCCTATGCAATACTCTTGCATTACCTCGCAAACTTTTGCATTCCCTTGCAATATTGTTTTGCAATTACACGTAAAAGTTTGTTTTTAATGAACAGAATTAAATCAGACATTTATTTTGAAATATCCAGTTACCAAAACAGGATGTATAGCCAGAAGTTTGAGAAATTGACATTGATGCTGCGTGGCTGCACTGTGTTAAAATATCTGCATATTACATACTTCCATGCATGTCTGATTTAAAGTAGTAGGCTAACTCGCTAATGGTGACCACGTGAATTTGTTAATAAATTGACAGACACAACAGTGAAAAATGACTCTTGTGAGGGAAAGCAAAATGTACTGCGAGGTAACACGATACTATGGCATGAGAACACAAAAGAAAAAAAATCCCCTCACGTCCTCTGACTTCTGATTTCACATCGACATAAAATTATTTGTCATAAGGTATTTAAACAAGTTTATACTGTAGTTTTGAAAAAGGTCCCTCCTTCGTTAATTGTCTAACATAAATTCCATACAGCTGTCTCATTTTTTCAGATTTAATTAGATAAATTTATTCCATCTATTAAGTTTCACATTTAAGGGAAGGCACACCATTCCTGGAGATACTGCAATACTAGGTCAATGCATGGAGTGAACAGAGCAAACCCATTTTCCATCACCCTGTTTCAAAAATCTATTTAATAAATGATACCCAGGTAGAAGATGTATCAGATATTAAACTGATAAGAACAGATACTACACTTGATCTTAGCCAAAACACAGAGAAGCGATACCATACTGTACAACTCTCAGAGGAGACCGCCTCATCCTCATCACTGACAATCTGACTCACGGTTCACAAATTATGTTGAGTGGCGGTAACGATATATATCACGATATACAACTTATAATAGAAAAAAAAATAAATCTCACATTAATTGAGTGGAATAAATATGTAGGGTTAAAAAAAATTAGACCTTAAAATCTCCTTTGTAAAGGGACACTTTAAAGTCTCCCATAAAAATCTAACTTTAAGGGAGACCTACCTGGTTAAATCACATATATATATATATATATATATA